GTCCGGAGCAGGTTTCAGCCAAGCCTGGTAGGATTCTCAGTGTTTCCCCAAACTTGCTGAGCCAGGGGTGGGCCCTTCCTTTGTTCCTGCTGCACACACCAGTGAGGAAGGCACTTGCCCACGGGGTTCCCCACCGGCTTCGGGCCAGCACTGGCCCCATGCCTCCCCTTCTTTGCCCCTTGAGTCCTTGCCCCGACTTGCTGCCCCTGGATGACATCCACTGACTGTCTCCTCCATGCCAGGCTCTGCCATGTGCTAGGAAACAGGTAAACGAGACAACACCTTGCCATGGAAGGGTTCAAGGCTTAGGGATGGGAGAGCAGGGTAAGAGGACAGGCATTATAGTTTAGTCTAAAAGATGTAATGAGGGGCGCCTGGATGACTTAGTCGGTTAAGCGTCTGACTCTAGATTTCAGCTCAGGTCATGATTTTCAGGGTCGTGAGATGGACCCACATCAGGCTCCATACTAGGTGTGGAGTCTGCTTGAGATTCTCCCTCTCCCTCTGCCTCTGCCCCTCCCTGCCACCCCGCACACCTGCGCGCTCACTCCCCCTCTCAAAAATTAAAAATAAAAGGTGTAATGAAAGCTGTATGAACACAAATGGTTTAGACATGTGTGTGCGTGTGTGCGTGTGTGTGTGTGTGTGTATTAAGGGGGAGGGAGAGAGAGGGAAATTGATAAGGCAGATGGGTTAAAATGTAAACAGCTGGTGAATCTAGGTAAAGAGTATTATGGGAATTCCTCATAGGAAAAACCAAGCTCATACATACAGAGAACAGACTGGGGGTTGCTAAAGGTGGGGGTGAGGAGGTGGGCGAGATGGCTGAGGGGGGTCAAAAGGTACAAACTTCCAGTTACAAAATAAGTAGGTCATCAGGATGTAATGTATAGCATGGTAACTGGTTAATAATCCCATGTTGCATATGTGAAAGCTGCTAAGAGAGTAGATCTTAAAAATTCCCATCACAAGAAAAAAAATGTGTAACTGTGTGGTGATCATTTCGTAATATATACAAATGTGGAGTCATTATGGTGTAGGCTTGAAATGAATATAATGTTGTATGTCAATTATACCTCAATAACAAAAGAAAAGTAAATCTCTCACCTAGAGGTGAAACACATTTTTTTGTAACTTTCCTGTAAGTATGAAATTATATCAAAACCAGGAGAATCCCAGCATGAGCAAAGAGCTTCAGAGCCCAGAGGAAAAAGCAACCGCCCGCTTGTAGGAGCTGCGAAGATGCTGGAGGAGGGAAGCACTGAGCTGGCAGAGAAAGAGGGGTGAATGCTTGGGGTGGAGGCAACAGCATGTGCGAAGGCAGGGGGGCCGTGACAGGGCCCGGCACATGGAGCCACCTGTGCCCCTGAAACTCCAAACACCTATCGAATACGAGGGCCTTCCTGTGCTTAGTCTGCGGTTTGAGCCTAGTATTTGGGCCTCGTCGGACGGTGGCCCCAGGGCCCTGGCAGTGGCACCATCGTCGCGGGGAGATCCTCCATCGCCTGGCTACTCGCTGGGTCTCTGCTGCTTCCCTGGAGTGGCAGTATTCGGTAACGCCAAGCATGATGGTGCCTTCTTGGCCTCGGCCAGCTCCCCAGAGAATCGCTTCCAAATTTCGATCACAGTTGGTTTCCAACAACATCTAAACGGTTTGCCACAAGCCCAGCAGCCCTGGCTGTCCAGGACCACAGGTGCCAAGCAAAGGTTGGCCCAGGCAATGCCCTCCCGCTGCCTCGTGAGTCAAAGGGCCCTGTTGACGGTTTGCTCCAGAGTGTCAGTTTCAGGCTCAGGAAGTAGAAAAAGAGGCAGCTGGTTTACAGCACTTCCTCGAGGGCAGCAGCTTGACCCAGTGACCTCTCGAGGAGCCTTCCAGTTGCACAGAACGTTCTCTCTGCCCTGCCCACCTTCCTCTGGCTTAATGCCTTCTCATATTTCTCATCTCAGCGGAGGGCCTAACTTCTCAGGAAAGCGCTCTCTGAGCACCCAGCCCTGGCCAGGGGAGGAGTCTACCCTCGTGTTCCCAAGGCTCCCATGTGACCCCGCATCACGGCATTTTCTTATTATGGGTCAGAGCAGGACCCTGGAGCTGGGTTGCATGGGCTCCAGCCCCGGCTCTGCCACTTGCTGGTTCTGTGACCTCGGGCAAGTTACTGAGCCTCCATGTGCCTCAGTTTCTTCATTGGCAACATGGAAGCCTATCTCCAGGGCCAGAGGAGTCAGCATTTACTTAAAACAGGGTCTGGCCCCTAGTTTGGGCTATTCGTGGAGAAGCTCCTGCCCCTCCTGGGCTTGACTTTACTGCTCCCGGGAGGACAGAGGAGGGGTGCTGCTCTTGCGTGGTCTCAGAGCTGGGCATGGTGAGGCTGTCCACGTGGCTTGTCAAAGGTACAGACGAACGAGGTGGGCTCACCCAGGAGGCCAAGGGTTAAGGTCAAAGCAGCATGGGGCTGGGGGTCTGGAGCCCCAGGTTCACCCTCTGAGGAGCGCTGGGCCAATCTATCCTTTCCCCTGCCTGAGCCTCGGTTTCTTCCTCGGTAGAACGGGGATGGTAGCTTGGGGACCGAAGCGCTACGGACTAGCGAGTGCGGCACCCACAAGGAACAGCACGCGTCTGCTGGCCCTCCCGCCCCACCTGCAGCCTTATGCCCTGGCTCCAGCCGCGCTGGTTTAGCTTGCTCAGTGGCAGATAGCTCTGGCCACTCACAAGCACATGACCCCCTGCCAGGGAGATGCCCCCTGCCCCCACCCCCCCCACCTCCCGCGAGCCCCTCCCTCACCTTGTGTCACCACCTTGCCGAAGACGGGCAGGGAGTCGAGCGTGGAGCAGTTCCAGCGCCGGTTCCGGAACTGGTACTGGCACTCCTCAATGGCGAGCTGAGCGCCGCGGCGCACCGAGTCCATCACCTCCAGGTTCCGCTTGCACATCTGCACTTGCCTCTGGATCAGGCCCTTGAGCTTCTCGCACGTCTCCTCCTCTGAGATGCTCCCCACCGAGGACAGCTTGGCCAGGTACCTGGGGGGAAGGCGGTGGCGTGGAATGCGGTGTGGCGCTCCTTCCTCCTCTTTCCACTGTCAGGACCGGGCTGTGCTCAGCCCAGGTCTCCGGGGACCGACTCATCCCCCTGATGGGTCCTGGCGGTGACTTCTCTCTGGATCTGGTGACAGGCCCCCGTGCCTGGCTCTTGGGACCAGAGGGGCAAGTGCTGTCTTGCATAAGAAAGCCTCTGCCTCCACCAAAGCAGGCCAGGCACTGGGAGAGACAGTGACAGAGCCCCCACGGGACCCCGGCATGGCCCCTGGGCTCTGACCCTGTCAGGTCCCTCTGGCTGGGAGGCCGGGACCACTCCCCTGGTGTCTCTATGTCCCCGCCCCCAGGCAAGGACCCCGGGGACCTAAGCCCACCCCAAGCCACGGCCAGCCACATCCCTGGGTACCAGATAGAGGCCAGCATCAGGGCGGCAGCCGGGAGACTCAGTCAGCACATGGAAGGGGGCAGGGGAGGAAGCCTTCAAAAACATTGTGCCGTGCTCTTCCCTCGGCCCCTGGAGTTTTTACAGCCTGAAGATGGGGCAGCAATGCCGTTCCACCTCATAGGGTAATGATGAGGATACAAGCTGGGTAACTTACGTCCGAGGGCTCTGGGACCAGGCCTGCAGGGAGCGGGGGCTCTAAAGCGTCCATTTCAGGGGAGGACAGGAGAGAGCACGACTGTTCATTGAACACCCAGTATGTACCATGCACAGTGGCAGTCACTGCCGCATCCTCACCCCCAATCTATGAGGTGGTAATTATTATGCCCGTTTTATGGATTCCAACATGGAGGCTAAGAGGGTGACAGGGCCAAAGTGACACAGATAGCAAGTGCCAGAGCTGAGCTGCAAACCCCTTCAAGCAGGGTGGGCCTTCCTCCTGCCTGTCCTCCTCCATGGTGGGTTGAGGGGCCCGGGCAGGCTCTGCTGCATCTGAGGACAGACACTGTGCGATCTGGGCCAGGAGGTAAGGGAGCTGGAAGCAAGCTGCAAGGACGCTCAGCAGGATGGGAGCAGAGCTGGGGAAAGGCCCTGGTCAGGAAGAAGTGGTCCCTCTCGGGTGCCTGGGTGGCTCAGTCGTTAAGCGTCTGCCTTCGGCTCAGGTCATGGTCCCAGGGTCCTGGGATCGAGTCCCACAACGGGCTCCCTGCTCGGCGGGAAGCCTGCTTCTCCCTCTCCCACTCCCCCTGCTTGTGTTCCTGCTCTCGCTATCTCTCTCTCTGTCAAATAAATGAATAAAACCTTTAAAAAAAAAAAAAAAGAAGTGGTCCCTCTCAAGGGAAAGAGCTATGCATTAGCTGAACACCTACTAAGTGCCGGGTATGTCTCAGGTGAAGTGATCGGCTCAGGGTCACCTGGCTTGTAAGGGCAGATGTAGACTGAAGCCCAGGTCCGATAACCCCGCGACTCTGTTCTAACCACTGGCCCTCAGCCTGTCCCCCCTCTCCACTAGCATCCTTGGCCAGAGAGAGCAAGTTGCCCCTAACTTTATAGTGAACCAGCCTCCCTGCACACCACCCCCTCCACAGGGGCTTGGCCGGCAACCCTGCTCTGGGACGGCGGGAGCTTCCTAGAGCAGGGGCGTGAAGATGCTGTTGCATCCTATAAGGGAAGCTGCTCGAATTTCTTGTCCAAAGGGAGGTCAAAGGGGAAGGTCACCACTCTCCAGGACTCAGTTTTCTTATCTGTAATGTGGGGAGGTTACCACTGGTTCTGGCTAAGTCAAGGAACTATTGTCAGAGCAAAAGGGGTCCTGTGTGTAGAAAGATGGTCTGACCAGGGGTCTGAGGCAGTGGGGCAGGAACTGGCCATTTGTTTGCTGAATGAAATGAATGAATGGAGAGCAAAGAGAGAAGTACATAGAAAGCCCCACTAAAATACGGGACATTTAATGATGATGGTAATAAGCATAGCTCACTTTGATGGAACTTAGGACCAGGCTAAGCACTTTACTTACATTATTGCATTTATCCCCTCAGCAAGCCAACGGACTCCCATTTTATAGAGGAGGAAACTGAGGCACAGACAGATTAAGTAGCTTGCCTTGTGCACAAGGTCATCCAGCTGGTAGGAGGTGGAGCCAGGACTTGAACCTGGTTTTGCCTGACTTCTAGATGGGCGCTAAACCCAGCGTTGTTTTAAGCAGCTCAAGGACTAGACCTGACCCCAGTGGGCAGAAGCTGCTGGGAGCCGGGTTCGCTCAACCTAAGGATGCTGGTCAAGGTGCAGCCGATGGGCTGCCTGCTGGTCGCCAAGCTTTCCTCCCCTGGAGGTGTGTGAGCAGCAGGTGGATTCTGTTTGTCAGGCACGTGTGTTGGACCAGAGGGATGGTTCTCAAATCTGGCTGTGCATCGAAACTTTTGTGGGGTTTGCCGAAAGTGCAGGTGCCCGGGCCTCCCTCCAGGCGGGGCTGGGTGGGCATCTGGGCTTTTCACACATTCCCAGGAGCAGCTGGGAAGCCAGGCTGGCCCTGGACGGCACTTCAGGGGACGCTCTTGGCTAACCACCGGTGATGCCTCCTTCTACACCCAAGGGGGGTCTGATTCTGGGACCCACGTTCCTCCTCATGGCTGCATCAGCACCCGCAGCCCCGGTTGTGAGGCCTGAGTCTAGCTTTCTTTATCTAGAGGGGGAGATCATGGATCCTATCGCAGAGGGCTGCTGTGAGAAATTAAGGCGAACTGATGCGGCTGGTGCAGCCGGCTCTCAGCCGGGCACATCGCAGGTGTGACCCTGAGGACCCCTCCTTCCCTGGCAGCACAGGTGAGTAGGAGGTGGGTGGTCTTGGGCTGAGGCAGTTCAACCTTCCCTTCCTCTCCCCACGTTCCTCGCCTCCTGGGGGACCTCCCTGTCTTCTCTACCAGGTCCTGCCTAGGGGATACACAGTCACTGGTAGGGCTGTGTAGGGCCTGCGGAGCGCCTCGACCATCTCTGCTTCTTCTCTCGTTCTGGTCGCCTTGCCCCAGTTTGGGCTTCTTCCTGCCACTGCTGAGTACAGGATTAGCAATTTGCCACCTGCTGCCCCAGCCACCCAGGACTCTAGCCACAGCCCTGCCATCGATCAGGTTACCCCAGCAGGCCGGGCGGCCCCGGCTGCCGCTGCCAGCCAGCTCGTGCCCCCATCTTCTCAACCGGGGGCTGCCTGAGCCTTCCAGAGGGGAGAAGGGTGGGAGGATGGTTGAAGGACAGGGGGGTGCATCTGGAAGGGAAGAGGGCAGACTTGGCTCCTCAGCCCTGTCTGGGTGCTCCCCTTGCCTGGGCCAGCTGAGGAAAGGGGGTCCCCTAAGGAGCTAGTCCCACCTGGCGCTCTTGGCCTGCAGGGGGCGCCAAGAGCCCAGCGACTGGCCAGGGGCCAGGTCCACACTTGGGAGGCCGCGAGTGAGGGGACAAGGAGTTGGGCCTCAAGTTGGATCCTTTCTTGCTCAGACCCAGGCTTGGCCTCTTGGATAAGGGTGGGGGCCCCTATTCCCTGAATGACAGGGGGGGCACAGAGCTGGCCTGTCCCCATCTCAGCCCCTGTTCCCTCTGCGTCCTGCCAAGGGGCCAGGTCAGACTATATAGGCTCCTGCCTCCCGGTGAAGGGAGGTGTTCAAGGGCAGGGGTTCTCTGGGCAGGGGAAGCAGGCTGGGGAGGCCCGGCTGAGCCAACAGCCCACAGTGTGACCTTGGGCAAGTCCCTGCCGACTTAGAGCCTGTTCTCCTGGGGACAATAAACTGGCAAGTCTGTGCGGCCTTTCCCTCTGTCCGAGTGGTAGTCCTCCTTCTACAGACCGGGAGGGGGGTGTCCAGGCCTCAAAGGCCTCGGGGGGCCCCGGCCAGGCTGATAGATGGAGCCCCTACCGTTGAATGAGAAATGAAGTAGACCAGGGGAGCTGCCCACCCCTGTCTCCTAGGTCCAGACTCAGTGAGGGGAGGCAGCCTGAAATAACAGTAGTAGGGCTTTAGGGGTGAGCTGTGGGCTGCCATGGCAGTGAGTCACTGGGACGGCTTCCAGGAAGAAGCTGAGAACCCTCTTCCGCCGAGGAGCGTGCCTGCCCCCACGGCTGGCACCCTTGCCACCCCCCGGCCCCTGCCTTCATCTGGCTCCCCAGCTGTCCCCTTCCATGCCGCAGGAGGTGCAGCTTCAGCCCCCCCGATTCTCCCAGATCCCAGGATCTGGCCCGGGAAGGGCTGGCTGCTGGGGCCGGACATGCAGCTGGGAATGGGGCAGAAAGAGGTGGGGTCCCGGGCCCTTGCCCGCCCTGCCTGCCTGTTCGGGTATCTGGTCTGGGGGCCTGGCCTCATTTTACAGAGGAGCGAACTGAGGCCCAGAGAGGTGGAGTGCCTCGTCCAAAGTCTCATAGCCAGCGAGTGACCAGGAGCTCTGTCTCCCCTGTACCCCGGTTGTGGGTCTGCCCAGTCTGACAGCTGTGGGGGCTGATGCTACCTTCAGTGTCATGTCCAGCCGTGGCCTCCTCAGGGCCTGGCACAGGGCGAGGCCCACAGAAGGTGTTCGGTCAATGCCTGCAGCGTGATGGGGGGCTCTGTCCCCCGTGTCACCTCCTGGCAGAGTCCTCAGGGTAGGGAAGAGGGGGGCTGAGGGAGTACCATGGGGGCTGCCTCTGCCTACCAGCCTGCACAGGACATAGAGACGGTCAGGGGTCAGGCCCACCTGATCCTGGGGGCCTCAGGATCCCCTCCCTGCACCCTAAGGTGGCTCAGCCTTTTCCTCAGAGCCACGTGTTCCACTCGATGACCCTGGAGCTGGGCCGGGCTCGAATGTCGGCTGCACAAGCCATTTCTGGGGAGACAGAGAGCCTCCCGGGTGTGACCAGTGCTGGCCGTCGCTGGGCCGGGCTGGCCAGGCCTGCGGAGGGCCTCGACCATCTCTGCTTCTTCTCTCGTTCTGGTCGCCTTGCCCCAATTTGGGCTTCTTCCTGCCACTGCTGAGTACAGGATTAGCAATTTGCCACCTGCTGCCCCAGCCACCCAGGACTCTAGCCACAGCCCTGCCATCGATCAGGTTACCCCAGCAGGCCGGGCGGCCCCGGCTGCCGCTGCCAGCCAGCTCGTGCCCCCATCTTCTCAACCGGGGGCTGCAGGTCCTGCAGGCTCCTCCCAGGAGGCCCTCCCCGCCGGCCCGTGCCGCAGCCTGCAAGGCTGGAGGGCCCTGGCCCTGCCAGGGAGATCAGATCCTCTCGGCCACCTGCTGTTTTCATTAGAAACTAAAATTAGCTGGGCTTGTCCCAAGCTTTTCCAGGTTTGCTTGCTTTTTAAAAAAAATATACAAATTCCTAGAGGAAAATCCGCACCTCTCCAACTCCTCTCCGGCTCTTACTCTGAGCGTCCAGAGGAGAGGGGACGGGAAATAGCTGGAGCGTTTGGGAGGCCAAGCAGATCAGTGTCGTGGGTCTTGGCCTCGCGGGTGTCCAGGTGGGGGCTGGGACGCCAGCCCAGGCCTCTCTGCCCCCTCCCTCTGGCCTCCCTGCCTGCCCGGGCCACATTTAGAGCCTCCTCAGGAGTGGCAGTGCCTGGGACACCCGGGAGGAAGGAGGCCAAGCAGGCGGGAGGAGGAGCCGGAAGGAGCTGTAGTGCCTGCCCACCAGCGAGCTGCCTGGGGAGATAGGCCCAGCGAAGGCCCCAGACCCCACCCAGGAGCGCGTTCTCCCCGGCGGTGGCCAGTGCCTGCTTCCCCAGGGTGTCACCACACCCTTCAACCCTTCTCGGGCCTTTGGATGTTTCTGCACCCACGGTCTCCGAGTCCTGCTGCCCACTCCCCGACGTGGCCCCGTCCTGGAGACCTATCCTTCCGCACGGCCCACAGGGTAGTGCACTGTGCAAGAGAGATGGCAGACTGGGTCAGAATCCCGGCTCCGTGTTCCCAGAGGCAAGTTAGTGAGCATCTCTGAGCCTCAGGGTCTTCATCTGTAGAATGGGGAGAATAATAGGTCTCGCTTGCCTCAGGAGGCTTAAGTGGATTTAAATGTTCACACAGTAGACACTGCTCCCCTGTTGGCAACCTTATTATGTTATATTATCATGATGACCGTCATTAAGACATTTACCTTCATCTTCATCTTCATCACCACCACCTCCTCGAAGCCCCTTCCCAGGCCCTTGAGCCGGGCCCCCTGCCGGACCGCAGACCAGTCCTGCTCATTGGTCTTCTTTGGCTCGGCTCCCTCAGCTCCTGTAGACCTGGGTTCACCAGCCTGAGGGAAGGACACACTCCCACTGGGAACAGTGGGTCGCTTCGGCCTCCACCCCAACTGCAGAGCTTGGACGGAATCTCCAGACGGAGCCCGTGGAACTAGAGGGCGTGTGCCAGCGGCTCGGGCCCATCGGACGGACCCTCCAGGGACCAGGAGTCCGAGAGGTGGGACGGGGGATGGGGTGCTATTCGGGGATCAGAGGCTGGTGTGGCCGGGGGGCTTGGAAGCCCTTTGCGGGACGAGATTGACTGGACGGGAGGGACCTCACGTCCCCCGTCCTCTTCAGACAGCAGTCACATGCTTGAATACATCCTTGTTGCCGCCGTGCAGGCTTGGCAGGAGGGTGGCATCCTCTCCGTGTTAAGGATGACGTTCTGGGAGGCATGTGTTCAAGGCCACGTAGCCAGTCAGGTTGTTCCGGCTCCTGAGCCTGGGCTGGCGAATCAGGCTCCGGGGATGGCCCCGGGTACCCAGGGCCTGACGGTTTGGCAGTGACCATGATTTGAGGAAGGTGGCTTCTTCTTCCATTGCTGAGTCCTGCTGCAGTCCCAGGGTGTCCCTGGGCCATGGCGAAGGTGTCCACATGCTCTCAGGAGTGAGGGGTCCTCGGGAGGGAGGTGTCTCAGTGGCTGTGGGGCTGCCTGCAAGGCACATGGGCCTGTGGTCTCAGCAGCTTCTGCGGCCACGGAAGGAGTGGCTGCCACTGGCCTGAGACCCCCGGAGGGGCAGCCGGGGAGGAGGGGCCGGCCTCGGAGACACCGTGGCTGTGGGGTGCGTGGGGGCAGCCTCCCCTCCACCTTCTCCCCAGCCCAGGCAGAACTCTGGAGTCCTTGATGCTCAGCTCAGGTCCCAAGGACCTTTCCTCAGTTCAGGGGAATGACGGCCTTTTCTGGAGCCCAAGCCCCCACTCCTGTAGCTCAGGGCACTATTCCCCCTTCTCCCTGTCTCCCGGGATCCCTACCTTCCTTTCTCCCCATCCTCAGAAGCCTCAGCAACCCCATTTTAAAAATCTTTTCACTTCCAGTTTCCATTACTTCCCGTACCCCTGTGCCCCAGCTCCCCACATGTCATTCCTGAGGGCTCCATGCCCCCCCACTTCCTTCGTGGGAGCTCCTCTCCCATCTCATAGTATGTGTTTCTGGGGAGCAGGTGGTTGACTCAGGGCCAGGAAGTAGCCACTCAGACCTGAGCCTGGAGGGCCCCAGAGCTGCGCCGGAACGTAAGACCTTTCCTTCTCTCCGTGGGGCAGGTGTGATGGTGGGGGTGAGTGGGTGTCAAATTTAGGGCACTTCCTGACCTTGCCTTGCCCCCTCATTTGGCAGCAGAGAGCTTCTCCCTTGCAAAGACCCACCCAGCTCTTGTCCCCGGAGCCACTGAACCGTAGAACTGTCCTCCCTAGCTCGGCTGAGGGAGCCCGGGGTCGGGAGCTGGGAGGGGCGGCTGACACCCCAGCTGAGCTGTCCAGGGCGGCTGCTGGCTTCCTAGACTGCGGCTCATGCTCTGGTGGCTCCAGGTTTCTAGGGAGTTCCTTGGCTCTGGTGGATTCCTTCTGAAGGCCCCAGAAGAAGTTCTGGGAGAGCCTATGGTCAAACCCACACCCCTATCCCAACGAGGCAGCTAGGACAACTTTGGTTCCTTCCTTGCTCCATTGCTCCAAACCTCCCACAGAGGATGACTGGCGAGGGTGTGGGGCTGCAGGGAAAGTTCTGGGAGGATAGTCAGGAGACCTGGGCTGGAGTTCCCACCTCTACCACGAATGTGCTGTGTGACCCCATGTGCCTAGCACAGTGCCTGGGGGGGTGGGTCGGGTCTCCACAGGCGAGCATTTGACAGGGTTGAATGGGGCTTTACCAGGCATGCCCCTGCTTAGAGTTTCAATGTCGCTGGAAGGGGTTGAACGGACAATCTCCGGGGACCCTCTGAACTCTGATGGCTGTGACTTGGTCCTCTGTTCCTGGGGTGCCAGGACTCCTGGGCCTCCCTGACACAAGAGGGGTACCGTGGTGTCGCCAGCCCTCGGGGAAGAGTCCCTGGAACCCAACCCTGCCATGATAGGTCCTGTGTGCGAACCGAGGGAGAAAGAGGGTCCGAAAGGACCATCCAGGGGTCACCGCAGGAAGAGGCCCCTGGTGTTTCACTGGAAATTTCCCGCTGCTTCTAATGGGCCTCTCCAAAGTTCCTTTGTGAGCTGTGAGCGGCTGGCTGTTGGGAGGCTCCTTCCCGCTCTGAACCACATCCCTCCCTCCTCCTACCCACCTTCCTCCCCTCTCTGCTCAGACCAGGTCCCCTCCGCGGCGGCGGGGTTCATGACTTGGTCAGGGGAACTTTTAGAACGTAGTTTGGTTTCAAGTTTGCCAGGAGATGGGGGAGGTGGAGAGGGGTTTGGATGGGGAAAGGGGGAGCCGGTGGGGTCATGGCAGGGAGCGAGCCTTCTCCTGGGTTTGGCTGAATCACAGAAGACGCAGTTCGGGCCTCAGAGATAAAAGCTGGCAACTTGTGTGGACATCTGGACCGCAACCGTGGGGTCCCGGCTTCGCCTTCCAGCTGAGCTTGCTGAGCAAACGGGCGGCGGCCCCGCCGAGCTCCTCTGCAGTGGGGGTGACCCGAGGGGCCAATGGCGGGCAGCTGTCACCCCCTTCCGTGGCTCCCCGGCCAACCCTGTGCCCCGTTGGCTAAGGCCAAGCCCTTCTTCCCAGAGGGAGGAACAAGAAAAGAGGCTTGGCGTAAATGCTCAGCTTTGCAAATGCACCCACAGGACCCGAGTTGGGCGAGTTTCAACAGGTTTGGGGAACACAGTCTTGTCAGATGCTTGCAGAGTTGCTCAGTTGCTAATCCAGGGCTGAGGGAAGACAGTCAAGCCATAGCAGACAGCTGGGTGGTTACCGACGCTTGAGTAAACCCCTCAGGCAGAGCCTGGTCTCGGGGCCCTGCCGTGGAGGGGGAGGGGGAGGGGGAGAAAGAGCTTAGCCAGGCCCCAGGGGGTGCGCCCTGGCAGGGGACCCCGGGTCTCCACAGCAGCAGCCCATCCCGACACCCACTTTGGCCCCTCTTAGCACCACCTGAGACCCAGGGCGGTAGAGGGGAGCTTCCCTTCTCCCCGAGGTCTCTAAGATAGGGCACCCTTTGACAAAAACTTAAAACCCTCTGGAGTGAACCAGCCCTTCCTTCCTTTCTCCGTCAGATACTGGCTGAGCACCTACGACCTGTCAGACCCGTGCCAGCAACTGGGAGATGTTGAGAGCCGTCTGTGCCACGGCCTTGGCCTTCAGGTGTTTACAACCTCGTGGAAGTACGAGCCACACTGCGGGACCGTGGTTATATATAATACGAAACAGTGCTGTAGGCAGGGCATAAAAACCAGGAGATCGGGACATGTGGGAGCAAGTCAAGCTCAAGTCCTGCTTCTGATTTGCAGAATGGCCTTGGGGAGGTCACTGCACCTCTGGGTCTCTGAAGTGGGGCTGCCAAGAATACAGACCCCTTCCTCCAAAAGTGGGAAGGGAGAGGTTATGTGGTTCTAATAGGGTCATGGGTGGGAAAGTGCTTTGTGAACCACTGACTCTCAACGAAGGGTGATCTTTCCCCACAAGGGACATTTGGCTATGTCTAGAGCACCTGGGCGGGCTCCTGGCATCTAACAGGTAGAGGCCAGGGGTGCTGCGGAATGTTCTGCAATGCACAGGACAGGCCCAAAATACCAATGGAGTGATTTAGGAGATTCTGGTGTAAACTATAAAGGGCTACGGACGTGTTAGTGATTGATCCAATGCCCAGAGCCAGGGGAGGAGCTCCAAAGAGTGGGTTTACTATTTAGAAGAGAGGGAGGGATCCATTGTAGCTGGGGGTTGGGGGACACTTCCTGGGGGAGATGGGCCACACCTTTACCTGCGGGGCCGGGCACTGCACATCTGGGCTGGCTCTGCCCACACCTGGCCCAGCGAGTTGCACCCAGAGCTCCAGGCCTCACTCGGCCCACGGTCAAGAGATTCACTCCCTCCACCCCCCTTGCTGGGCACGTAGGCACACGGGAGCTTGGACCGGAGACACACACCTGCACGGAGGCAGATCCAGCGAGGGTGAGATGCCGCCGCCCCCAGCCGCCCTGAAGGGCGCTCCCAGACACAACTCTCTGGCCACCAGGATTTGCTCGGCTGGATCCCTGGCTGTGTGAGGCTCGGGCGGGGCCCCGGTTGAAGAGCAGGGAGGTGGCCTGTGTAAGCGTACAGGATCCCCACAGAACGGTTTGGGGTACACAGGGCTTGGGAGCAGTGGCCTGAAGGCCCGTTCTCTCTGTCATCCTTACAAACGAGGACACGACTCCCCCATTGCAGTGACAGTGATCCTCAGCTTCCCATTTCCGTCGGCGTGCCTGGCATGGTGCTCAGCATGCTCTACGCATGGGCTCACGCTTGCCTCACAACTGCCCAGAGGTGGGCGCCACTTACACAGAGGAGGACCCTGAGGCTCAGAGAAGTTAAGGAACCTGTCCATGGTCACTCAGTCGGTCAGTGGCAGACCTGGGATGGAACTGCGGGCTGTCCTGGAGATGCGGTTCTTAGGCACTCCGCTGGACTAGCTCCGAGTGCAGAACAGTCTCCTCACCCTCACCCAGGGGGCCTCTGCTGGGACCCCTGCTCAGTGCTCCACTGCCTTCCTTCAGGAAATCCACGAGCATGGAACCTTAGCTGATCTAGTCCCTGACTCTCCCTGGTACTTCCATTTGGAGTCCAGAGCAATGTGCTGAGGGCTGGGGCCCAGGGGGCAGGAGAGGCTCACCCAGAGCCGGCCAGCCTGGGGGCAGAGCGGGGACTGGAACCCCGGCCTCTCAACTCCCAGCACAACCTGTGTTGGAGGGAACGTTCAAGGCCATTTCTGAGCCCATCTGTGGCCGAGCCGGGCCTTCCACTGATGGACTGTTTTCATCCCTCCATCCCTCCGTCGATGGTGGGGGCTGCCACAAGCTGTCAGCTCGCCCGGGGTGCCAGACACAAGTCTCATCAACAGCTTCCAGCTTCTCTGGGCTTGCCCAGGCCTCAGGCTGTGGAGCCCTCCCAGCTCCAGCCTCCGTCCTGCCCAACAGCTGCACGCGGCGGGACACCTGGCCTCCCCGCCAGGCCACCCGCCCTTCTGAGACAACAGACAGCCCCGTCTCCTGCAACCGGCCGGCCAGCCGACCCTGGCCAGAAGCCTAACTGCAGGTACTGGGACGGGAACGGACACCCAGGCCCGGCCCCTCTGAGAACACTGCCCGCCATCCTCTTGGGGCCAGATGTCCATGTGACTCACACGGGAAAAGATAGTGCCAGCCACCATGCCTGGGTGGACATCCGCCTGCCCAGAGCTTTTCCGTCTAGAGGCAGCTTTTGGGTCAGGTGCCCCTGTCATTTACTAGCTAGGTGACTTTGGGCAATGACCTCTGTGACCCCCCATCTTCCCAACTGTGGAATGGGATTCAGATGTTGTCAGGATTTAGAGAGAACAGCGAGAGCTATTATAATGCTTACTATTACTGTCCTGATTCTGCCACCTTCAGGCCAAGTCCCCTCTGTGACTGCCCCTACTCACACCGAACCCTTCCTCTGACGGCGGGAGCATGCACACCGTCCCACCCACCCGTGGCTTTGCTTTTATTCTGTCTTTCCAGACCCCAAGGTCCTTGGCGGCCAGGCTGTGATGCTTAGTTCCCTCCGAGCTGGCTCAGTCCCTGTCCCAGGGATGGAGGTTGCTAAAAACAAGGCAAATGACCCAGTCTTGGAATGTGCCCAGAGATCTCTTCTCCATCACTGCCTCTCTGGTTTGGTAGGGGTCCCAGGAAGCCCCTATTCTTCCCGTCTCGGGCCGCGCAGAGACCCTTGGCTCGGAGCCCGGGGTGGAGCAGGAGTGAGCTGGGTCATCCAGAGATCTGCTTCGTGGCAACCTGAACCATCACTACTGCAGAGAACAGGTTTGCCAACCTCTCTTCTCCCTCCGGGCCACCCCTCCTCACCCCGCCCCCCTCGACGCAAGCACAAGAACTGAGCTGTTGGAATTCCCCAAGGCTTGCGTGACCCAGACCCAAAGCTGGGGCTGCCTCCCCGGCTGGGATTTCGGGCTTAGACGTGGCTGAGGGTGGGTGGTGACGCCACCTGGGCCACACCTGCTCAACTTGGGGACGGCTTCAGGGAAAGGGGTACGTCACTGCCCAGGAATCAGCACCTGGGTTCAGTTCTCTGCTCTGAGTTTGGGCCAGTAGCTTCCCCTCCTGGGGCCTCAGTTTCCTCATCTGTAAAAGGAGCTCAAACACCAGATGCCCTTGAAGGACGTTTCACTGTGGATATTGCTCTCTTCCCTGAAGACCTGGGTCGGACTCTGGAACTGCCACTTCTTTCTCTGCCTTTTCGTAGCCCATGGCCCTGGGTGGGTCACACCTCGTCCTTGTTCTTCCTGACACTCACACCTACTTTGGAGACCCTGGCTCTGAACTCCTGCTTTCAAGGGTCAGCTCCAGGGACCCCAGGCCCCCCCCCCCCGATCCAAAGCAGCTCCCCTCCTCAGCTCGGTGACCTTGTCCTCGCTCAGGAGGATGGCCTGTGGGGGTCGTGGGAGGGGGTGGTGGTGCCCTGGTTTCTGCACACTTTGCCACTGCCCCTGAAGTGTTAATCAAATTAAGCCTCCAAGAAAAACAAAAGCTCTGCAGCCACTTCGGGCTGCCTTGGAGTCGCTCACTCTCCCAACAGCTGGGAGAATTCCACATCACCTCGGTCCCCCAAGCCCTGGGTGGCTCTGACCCCAACGAACACACTCCTTCCAGCCTGCAGGGCCCCGGTTGGCCGCAATGACCTCATAGCAACAGCCATTGGACACTCGGGGCAATTTCATGGGAGATATTTGTTCTTTCGTCTTGATGCAGAGAGAATTTTTTCCTCTCCCGCTGTCTCCATGGAAACCCCAGCTACACTGTTGGCTATCCCCCTTCCCACCTCATGCTTTTCAGATCAATATTGGAGCTTGGCTCCCCACTGGCTGCCCACAGTGGATGGGGGCAGAGCTCTGGGCAGAAGGGATTGGGGCCAGGGTTAAGCCTGGGGCCTGGGGAACCGTCCCTGACCGGGGGATGAAGAAGGACTCTAGAGTCTTCTTGTTTCCCTGTTCATCCCCTCACCAAAGCTCATCCCTTTAGAATCCCCCTCCCTCCACCTAAGACTCCCCCCCGGCCCCCACTCAGTGAACCTTCTGTCCCTTCCCAGGGAGTCCCCTGAGCCAGGCCCTGCAAAGGAGAAGCAGACAGGTCACCAGTGGTCACCACCCCTCTCTCCTTAGGTGAGACACAGGGAGGTGGTGGGCTGTTGTCCTCTTCAAGGGCTGGAAGGAGTTTCTTCCCGCCCCAGGGAGAACAAGGCCGGCCAGCGCCCGGCCGCGGGCTCTCCGAGGCCGGGTGTCCTGGTCCCTTCCCTCCTTCTATCCCTGGCTCCCGCCCCCCAAGCAGAAACAGGTCCCTGCACGCCTCCAGCCCAGCCCGCAGCGAGGCGCAGCGAGGCGCGGGGAGCTCGCTCCTGGACTTCTCCGGATTAACCTGCTGTTACGACCCCGAGTCCTTCCCGGTAATGGGCTTCCTCCGCGACCTGTCAGCCGAGCCTGGGCTGCGCCCCGAGCGGCGCACCCCACCCCGGCCGCCGCCCCGCGCTCGCACCCCTTGCACTCTCGGGCGCCCCAGGCCGCCTATGGGTGCGGACGCCGCCGCCACCCCGGACGCCTCCGGGCTGGGAGCCGCACCCGGACAGGAGGGGTGCCCAGGGGGAGGCCCGGGCCGTGGCGGCGGCAGCGGAGAGGGCGAGCGAGCCTCGCGCCCCGCGGCCGAGACACCTGCCGGGCGCCCCCGCGCCCGCTGCCCCGCGCCGCCTGGCACCGGCCGCTGCCCCCGGGGCCTGCCCCGCCCCGCCCCGCCCGGCCCCGCCGGGTCCCGGCCCGACTTACAGCCAGTTGCTCGCGGCGGCCGAGAAGACAGCGAAGACCAGGAGGCGCAGCGAACGCAGGCACGAGCGGGGACTCATGGTGCCGCCGCGGGCGCCCGGCCCCGGGCAGCGGCTGCGGCCGCGGGGGGCCTCCCGTCGGGGCGGCAGGTGGGCGCCCCGCGCGCGGGCTGGGGCGCGGCGCCGGGCGCGGGCCGGGGCGCGCGCGGCGGGGCTCTGCCTCCGTGCCTGCCGTCAGCCCTGCCCGCTGCTGCGCCCGCTGCCCGGCGCGGACCAGACTGTCAGCGCCGCCCCAGAGCCGGGATGCGGCGGCGGCGGCGGCGGCGGCGGCGGCGGCGGCGGAGGCGGGCGGGCGGGCGGCCGGGGGGGCGGGCCGGGGGCGGGCCGAGGATGGGGTTACCTGGGCGGGCCCAGCGGCCCGGGACACCCCCCCCCCCGGGGGCGGGCCGGAGCGACGGCGGCAGCGGCCGCCCTGGCCCGCGGGACTGGGCTTCTCCGGGGGGCCTCCCCGGCCGGTCGCCCGGGAGGACTGAGGGCCGGAGCCCGCTCCAGGCACGCCTGGCTGCGCGCCGCCTAGCGCGGCCGGGCTAGAGGCGCGGCCACCCAGCTGCCCGGTCCCAGCCCGGGCCTTGGGGACAGGCGGGCACAGCTCCCCCAGCCCGCCGCTTCGGGCACTGCAGCACCGCCCTTGCCGCCCCGCCTCGCCCCCCGCCGGCGCCTCGGAGCCCGGCCCCGGCCCGGCCCGGCCCCGGCGGACCGACCCGAGCGCGGCGGCCACTCGCGCGCACCCAGCCGCTGGCGCTCCGGGCGCCCCGGGCTGCGCACCCGGGAGTCCGGAGCCACCCGGCCGCCCCCCGCCAGGCCCCTCCCTGCCTCCCGGCCGGCTCGTCCTCTGGCCCAGCCTTTCGCTGGCGCTCACCTCCCTCCAGCCTTCCGGGAGCTGGCCGGGGCCTCCCGAGCTTCGGGCAGCTTGGGACAGTGGCCGGAGACTGCGGGAATCCGAAACCTCGTTTCTGGCCAGCCTCGGGCTCTGGGCGCGCTCGAAGCCGCAGGGTCTTGACCAAGCCCTTTACGACTGTGGGCCTCTGTTTTCTCATCCGAGAAATGGACATAAGAGCCGGAGAGCGCGACGATAGAAGGAGCTTAGGGAAGGTCTCTTTTTAGCACCCTCACCAAGTCTTGCTTTGCGTTTCGGGTTTCTGTGCGCCTGTTTTGTTTATCCTCCCGTATCTGGCAGATTCGGAGAGCTCAGTGCCTGGCCCGGCGCGGGAGGCCGCGGTGTTTGTGGGAAGAATGAATGAAGTGGCATGGGGCTGTAACCGGTACCTTGCTAGGGTAGAGTGCTCAGTTCCACACCATGGTGCCTGGTAAGAGTTATTTGCCCATCCCCAGGTCATGGTCTCTTCAGGTCTTGGATCTGACTCTGTGTCCCCCATTACCCAGGGCTGGAAGGACTTCTCTAAATGGGAAAACCAAGGCCCAGAGAGGGGCAGGGAGCCAGAGCCACAGACCAGGCCTCCGCCCCCACCTCTGACCCTGCGCTCTTCACTGTTTAGGAGCATGAGGTTTGCTCCCCCGTGGATGCGATGCTGGGATGGTTTGGGTGCTGGGATGGTGCCCTTCCCTCCATGGAGTCTCTGGGGCTCAGCACAGAGGAAGGGCTCAGTAAACATTTGGTGTTGAGAGTAGGCAGAAGGTGGCTGGGATTTGTGGGGCTGAGCAAGAGTACAGATGGAGGCTCACGTACCATATGTCTAAATATTTGCAAGTTATAAATCAAGCTAACAAAATGTGAAATAAAATATGTTCTATTCTCCTACCTTGACAAGTACACTTTCCCACCAACCTGCAAGGCCAGCTTTGAATGCAGAATTCTCAGACTCCTCGGACCCTGTGTGGAGCATTGTGGTACAGGGAGAGGAGACCCCTTCTTTCCCACGGCTGCCTCTGGCCTGCCCTGCACACGTGAACACCTCGGCCAGCACGTGCAAGCCCGGCACACACCGCCTCTCCCCTCAGAGCCTTGGCCACCCCTCAGGCACGGAGCTGGCATACCTGTGCGGCGATCTGTCCTCACGGGATGGATCTGCAGGAGAGGCCCACCTGGGTCCTGGCAGTGGGCTTAGGGCTGTCTGGCAGGCAATCCCCGGGGCCTGGGGACCCAGAGTGTGATCTAGAGAAGGGGGCACAGGTTCCACGTGGACACATCCTTTTGGCCTCGTGGTCTCCTCTCCCTGTGATGAGAGCTTGGCTGGAGAACCAGAGTTCAGGGTCCCCAGGGAAGGAGCCACTCTCACCTAAGGGTGGAACTGAATTCCTGAACCATTTTGAGCCAACATATTTGCTTCCTGGAGTCTCAGTGTGGTATGGTGGGAAATGAGAATAAGACTAATTATTGTGATATAAGGAGCAACAGACAAATTATTTTAGGGTGGTCATATACATTCCTTCCAAACCAAGAAATTCTTTTTAAAAAAAGATTTATTTGTTTTTTAGAGAGAGAGAGAGCACAAGTGGGAGGGGCAGAGGAGGAGGGAGAGAGATTCTGAAGCAGACTCTGCTGAACATGGAGCCTAACACGGGGCTCGATCTTACGGCCCTGAGATCACTACCTGAGCCGAAACCGAAAGTCAGATGCTTAACCTACTGTGCCACCCAGGCGACCCCCGCCCACTTCCAAAATCAGGACATTTATGAAAGTGCTCAGGACTCTAACTAGAAGACTGGCTGGTTGTCAGGCATAAAGCAGGACCGTGTCCAGCTAACTCAGATGCCTTGTTCTGCTAAAAGGTTGAGTCCTCATATGCCAGGCATCGCTCAAAGTGCTTTACGTGGTGTCACTAGTTCAATCCTCACAGCAAATCTAGGAAGTAGGTACTGTTATGTTCCCATTTTACAGGTGAGGAAATGAAGGTTAGAGAAGTAAGTGACCTGCCCAAGGACAAGGGTGGGCCCGGGACTCCAGAGCCATGTCGTGTGCCTGGACTCAGGGGTTTGGGCTTGAGCCTCTGTCCCACAGCATGTGCCCCCGACCTTGGGGGGAGCTGCTGGACCTCCCGTGTCTGTGTCTGTCAGGTGCGGACAATGTTACCTGACTCTCCTTCTCATGGGGCCCTTCTCGTGAGGACGTGAGAGTCCTATGAGCTGGAAGGAGCAGAGCCGAGGAGGGCTGGAACGGAGGCCCCGGGCCAGGAAGGCCCGCCCTGATTGCGATAAGGGAGAGGAGGAGTCCCCTGGTCTGAGTCAGTGGAAAGTCTTAATGTGAAAGTGTCTTTGAGGAAATGCTCTTCTAACTTTCAAGAACAGTCTAACTGTAAAGATTTACATACAAATTAATGAGAAAGTTCATTCGTCAATAGCTCTTTCATATATAATCACACATGATAATAAGAGTGAACATGTATCTAGTGCTTCTCATGTGCCGGCCACGGAGCCAGAATCTTTGCTTATAACTCATTTAGTTCTGGCCACAGCCTTGGAAGTAGAAATTGTTATTCCCACTTAGAGGTGGTGAAACCGGGGGCGTGGGGGTGGGGGGGGCTGCCCTAAAGTGCTTTAAGATGTATCACCAATCCTAGGACATAGGCACCCTCATGTTACATACAGGGAAACTGAGGCACAGAGGGATCAAATGGATTGCCTACAGCCATGCAGTTAAGAAGTGGCACAGCCAGGATGTGGACACAGGTGGTCTGGGGGGTTGAATTGCCCCCTACCTTGTTCTTCCACATAAGGATTGATGTCTGGGTCCAGAAGGGGAAGGTCATAGAGTTTCTCTAGGTTCCTCCTGGAAGTTGCTATCCATTCTCAAGGCCTGAGATGGGGCCCCTCCTCTGTATCTCCTCTCTGTGCCCAGTGCATTGAGTGCCTCACACAAATTGGAATCTGAATACATCCTAGTTGTTTCCTTTTCTTTCGTTGAAGAAAGCGATTCTTTAATTCTCCACGTGGTGCAGTTTTTGGAGGGAGTTATCCTTCCTCACTAGAAAATTCACCAAGGAAGGGAAACCTGGCCAAGTTTTTAATCAGAAAGAACCACATACAGCATGTCTAAATTATCTCCAGTTCTCGGTGAATGGGTCCAAAGCAACGTGGTTGGCTGTTCTCCAGCCCAATCTTAGGAGCACCCAGTAACAGAGTGTCTGGTCAATGGGTGTCTGGGATTTCCAGCAACTTCCCAGATTTTTAGGTGGAGAAACTGAGGGCCTAGGCCTGGGGTCTAGAACATTCTTAAGCCTATACGTGCACTGTTCAGGGAGATAAAAATCAGTGGGTTCCTCTCCTGTCACCATGGCCTGTGCCATCTCGGGCTTGGCTGGACGGATCTGCACAGCAGTCTGCTCTGAGCCGTCCACCTGGTGCCCTGACCAAGAAGGGGCAGGAAACCTGATCAGTCTTAGCTAGCCATGCACGTTTGTGTGGCCCTGGGCAGCTCCCAGCTCCTCTCTGGGCCTGTCATTTGCTCCCTGAATTCCCTTCTAGGAATTTAGAGAGGGGTTAAAGTGGAATGTCAGGTTCTCGGGAAGCCTGTATTTGTTTCTAGCCTTGCCAAATCTCTTTCTCAATCTGAGCCTCAGTTTCTTCATCTGTGTAGTGGGACTCATAAGAGATACTGTGAGGAATCAACGGGATGATGTGTGTAAAGACTTCTAAGCATGGGGCTCAGCTCCACTGAATGTTGAGGAAGGTGCTTCATCTTGTTCTATGGTTTGAACCGGAAGTCACACTCCAGTGGTCTGCGGTGGTCTGTTTTGCTTGATCCACCCAGTCTTTTTAAAATCTATAGAATTTGTTGACAACATTTCAAGATTGGGAAATTTCACAGATTAAGATCCCCAGGTTTTCTTAAAAAATGGGGAGATTTGGCAACAGGGTACCCGCGTTCTCTGGGGGGGAAGGGTTACCTCTACACATCTTGAACGGCTCACGCATGTCCCTACAATCCCCTAACACAGAGCCAGGGGTTTCTGAGCATCCTACTATGGGTCAGGAGCTGTGCCTACATAGTGCATTGAATCCTTACCATAAGTTATAAACACGCTTATTTGGCCAACAATGAAGTAGAGGCTCAGAGAGTTGGGATGAGTTGCCAAGGTCACGGTGTTAGCAGATGGTACAGCCAGGACTCCCAAATAGGACCTCCGTCACTTTTCTCTATTTGGGCTCTCTTTCCACTTCAGCCTAGCTTTGGGTCCATGGAGAAACCCTACTTATGACCGGTTGATGGACTGATGGAAGATTAAGCATGTGATGTCAATGTCTATGGTTCCCATCCTGAACCTTCAGATCCTCGAGGCTGTGGAGTTAGGGTAGGGGTCCAGGAATCAACGTGCACACCTAGAGTTCATGGAATAAAACTCTCCTGCCTACATAAGATGACTGCAGCTTAACATTTTGAAATAAACATTATGAAAATGTTCAGGGGTGCCTGGGTGGCTCAGTTGGTTAAGCATTCGACTCTTGGTTTCAGCTCAGGTCATGATCTCAGGGTTGTGGGATCAAGCCCTAGATCAGGCTCCATGCACAGCAGGGAGTCTGCTTGGGATTCTCGCTCTCCTTTCTGACTCTCCCCTGCTCTCTCTCTTTCTCTCAAGTAAATAAATAAATCCTAAAAAAAAGAAAATGTTCAAATACTTACTATAGAAGACAGTAATAGTATAGTAAACCCCCATGCTGAATCATCCAGATTCAGCAATGACCAAAATTTGGTCTCATTTGCTTCATCTACTCTTTTTTTGTTTCTCTTTTCCTTTTTTTTTTTTTTTAAGATTTTATTTATTTATTTGACAGAGAGCGAGAGAGCACAAGCAGGGGGAGCAGTAGAGGGAGAGGGAGAAGCAGGCTTCCCGCGGAGCAGGGAGCCCGATGCGGGGCTCATCCCAGGACCCTGGGATCGTGACCTGAGCCGAAGGCAGATGCTTAACCATCTGAGCCACCCAGGCACCCCTGTTTCTCTTTTCCTTTTCTTTCTTTAATCTTTGTTTTTTTGAAGATTTAATTAATTAGAGAGAGCACATGAGCACGAGTGGTGGGGATGGGCAGCGGGAGAGGGAGAAACAGACTCCCTCCTGAGCAGGGAGCTCAACAGGGGGCTCAATCCCAGGACCCTGGGATCATGACCTGAGCTGAAGGCAGATGCTTAACGGGCTGAGCCACCCAGGCGCCCCTGTTTCTCTTTTTATTTACTGAATTATTTCAAAACACATTCCAGATATCTTGTTGTGTCATCTGAATATGTCAGACTAGGTCTCTAAGACCAGTGGGGTGCTGGAGCCAGCTGGTTCCGGCTGCTCAGAGCTGACCGTGCGCACCTCTTCTCAATTCCGAGTTCAGCCACGTGGTGTCGGTAGTGCAAATCTGCCGCGTGGGAGTATTTACACCACGGAAATCAGCAAACACTGCACAACAGGGTTCCCCTACAACTCTCCACCCCATCAGGGGTTAAACATTTATTAGTACGCCACTGTCCGAAACACATGGACATTTTCTTATACAACCACCGTGCGATGATGTCACCTACTGAAATTACTGTTTACATTCTAAGCAAATGTCCACGACGGTTTCAAAGACGCCTGTTTCTGGATGGTTTGTCTGATCAGCATTCAGACAAGCTCCACCTCTGACGTTTGGGTGTTACGTCTCTTGATTTGTTTAAACCTAGAGCAGGCCCCTCTGTCCCCCATCTGTGGCATTTGTATGCCCTTGATTGTTGCGGACGGCAGGTTGGCCGATCCGTTCTGCTGGCTGCATGTTCGGTAAGCTACTGTGCCCCTCTTTCCCCTTATCTCCTGTCTTTAAAGTCTGAATAGATTCAGCCTAACTTGGTTGGCTGGTTGGTTTTTTTTGGAGGGGGGCCAGAAGGCTTCATCGAGGGAGCTGGATTCAACGTTCACCTTTTCAATGCTTGCGGATGATTTGTGACAGATGAAACGCAGAGCCACGGAAAAGCATTTTTGAATTTGTGATGGCCTTTTGTTACCTCGCCAACCACATATACTACAAGGAAAGCCACGGTGGAATCTTTTGCTAGAAGGAAGGGCCATCAAAGTCAAGGAAGCCGGCCCCTCTGATTGGGCCTCACCAGCCTGCGCAGGTCTTTCTACATTCCGGTCTCAGGGATGAAGAACTGCCTTCGGGAGTTCATTCCACGATGCTGTCACTTGGACAGCCAGATACTCCTACCTCATGTCTAAATGCAGTCTTTCTTGCTTTCAGTGAAGCCCATTTTCTCTGCCTGGAACCTTGGCATATCTTAACCTCCCCTCTCTCGAGTCTCTTCTGGCATGGGGAGAAAAACAAACTGAAATGTTCTGTGGTTCTAGGTTCTGGATCCTGTCCTGGACGTGGTAATCATTTCCCCTTGGAGTGGTTTGAACCTTGCTCTGTCCCCAGCCCCAGGAGGCGCTGTGCATACCTTTTCCACACCCCTGAAGGATGGGGGTCCTCACGGGCCAGGGCACAGGGCATCTGTCCTGAGATCCCCCTGTGCATCCTCGCTCGCAGGTCTGGGGTCTTGTCTACTGACCAGCCTCAAGTTGTGGCTTTGGTTCCTAACAGGGCCCCTGTTCTTGCCTGTCCTTTCCGTCCTTCCTGTCGGGATCGAATCCTGGAAGCTGGTTCCTCTTCACCTTCGTCCTCGTGTCCGCTCCTGACGCCACTCACTGACTCAGCTGGGAGCTTGCTCCTTCCTTCCAGAAACAGGGAACTGTGGTGAAAAATGCGTGTCGTGGCCGAGCACTCTGCTTGAATCTCCGAGATGGCCTGAGCTAGAAGGGACACCATTTCCTCTGGGAAGCAGAGCCATGTCTGGGGAACATGGAAGCTTCCTTAGTGTTATGCCTCATGCCAGGAGTTTGAGTCTGAGCCTGTGTTCAAGCCGCCGTCAGAACTCAACCTAGGAAATGAGCTCCTCAGGGTGGGAAGGCCCTGTCAGACCGTCCCTTGCACGTGCAGTGGGCGTGGGTGGTGTGAACTCGACTTTTCCTCAAAGGTAAGTGGCATTACCTACAAGGCCTCAGACACCTGTACTCCCACAGTCTCAGAGGAAAAGCCTGATTTGTAAGGAAATATTCAAGGGAAGTTAGAAGAGGCGTGCTGTTAAGTTCATGGAAACAAGGAATGTGATCGACAGCTAAGGATTACTGCATATGGCACCAGATAGCTCTTGAATGTTTATCTTCTTGACTTGTGTTTATTAGAACCTTTAAAAAAAATGGATTGCTAAGCTGTTTTAATAGAGGACTTAGTTTTCTTAAACATTCCCAGTTAGAACTAGTGATGTTAATTTGTTTGTCATGATTAGAGCTGAAATCTAAGGAGGACAAGGAGACAATAATACGGGCAGCTCCCGGTGCTGCTTTCCATCAACAGCAACCTGCCCTCCTGTTGGAGAGGCACAAGCAAAGGCCCTGGGGTCAGCTAGCCTTAGGCTCTGAGCCAGGCCTGTCCCTCACAGGCTGCAGGGCTTTTGGCAGATCATCTCTTCTGTCCCTCCATCTCCCCTCTGGGCTTTGCACGTACTGTTTCCCCTGCCGGGAATGATCCTCAACCAGTCCTTCGTTGAGCTAATTCCTTCAGGTCTGGGCTTCCATGTCATGTCCAAGAAGACTTCCTTGGGCTCCCGGTTACATATTCTCTGTCAGCCCTCTGGACTTTTCCTTTGAAGCACTATCAACCGAATAAAAAATGATTATTAAATAGTTATTTGTAAAATTATTTATGTGGTGTGTCTCTTTCAGTGGTTTATGATCTCCAAAATGGTAGGGATCATGCTTATTTTCACCGCTGTGTTCCTGATGCCGCTGTGTTCCTGGTGCCACTGTGTGCCTGGCACAGGGTGTTGGATAAAGAAATGAGGTGCAATTCTTTAAGCCTCAGTTTCTTTATCCAGAGAATGGGCCTATGACTCTCTTTCTTTTATTTTTTATTTTTATTTTTTTAAAAAGATTTTATTTATTTATTTGACAGAGATAGACAGCGAGAAAGGGAACACAAGCAAGGAGAGTGGGAGAGGGAGAAGCAGGCTCCCCGCAGAGCGGGGAGCCCGATGTGGGGCTCAATCCCAGAACCCTGAGATCATGACCTGAGCCAAAGGCAGACGCTTAATGACTGAGCCACCCAGGTGCCCCGCCTCTTTTTCTTTTAAATGGGAATAGATAACCTGACAAATATTGGTTTCTTTCCTATCCTTTCTCCTTGCAAAAGGAAAAAAAAAACAATTTAGAAGAAATAAATGGCCTTTTGAATTGTTAGCCTGAAAAACCCATAACTTAAGAGAGCACACACAAAGTTGGAATTGTAATTGTGGAATGGTGGAGATGTCCCTGGTTTCGGCCACAGGCGGATGGACTAAATGACTCCCTTAGATCCTGGGGTGGAGGAGCCCTTTCTCCTGGGCATTAGAGAGCTGGTTTGCCCGTGGGGGGGGGCCCAGGGCGGGGAGTTGTGGGGGCTCCTTCCACTCTGGGAGTGGCTTCTAAGCTTCCCTTGGCCTCTGAGGTGGAAATGAAGGATGACCCAGAGCACCTGCTCCCCTGCACTGCTCAGGGGAGCCTTCCTGGTGAAGGGGACACCTAAGTGAGGGCCTGCAGGGTTAGTGAGGTTAGCCCGGCAAATGGCAAGAGAAGTATTCCAGGCTAAGGGACTAGCATGTGCATCGGCCCAGAGGTGAGACGGCATGGCGCGTGGGAGAATGAACGTTCAGAGGGGTGGGCGGGCGGGGATGGAGGAGTGGGTGGGTCCCATGACAGAGCTGGGAGAGGACAGCAGGGGCCAGGGCAGCTCATGGGGCACTGTACGCATGTGCGTGTGCATGTGCGTACGTGTGTGCATGTGTTTGTGTATGCTCATGCATGCATGTGTGCACACGTGTGCGCATGCGTGTACATATGTACGTGTGTACGCACATGCTTATGTGTGTATGTGCGTGTGCATACGTTGTGTATGTGTGAATGTGTGTACGTGCGCACCCGCATGTACGTGTGCATACATTCTTACGCGTGTATGCATGTACATATGTGCATGTGCGTGCATGCGTGTGTATGTGCATGTATGTGTGTATTTGTCTACCTGTGTGCATGAGTGTATGTATTGCGTGTGTGTGTGTGTGTGTGTGTGTGTGTGTGTGGAGGGTTCCTCCAGCCAGGAACCATGCACACAGATGCCCAGCCGGCATCCCCGCAGATGCAGACACCCCGGCACTGGAGTGTCAGAAACCCGCCAGGGCCGGAGCAGCTGCTTCTAAATCAAGGCCAAGGGCAGCCGAGGGGCTGGGTTGGGTTTGGTGGCTTTGCTGTGTGGGCTGATGGGGGCTGGGGCTGAAGGGGGGCTCCCCATTAGGGATTCTGGGCCAGAGTGAGCCTGGCTGGTTTGGGGAAGTTTATTTTGGAAACTGGGATGATGCAAAATTAAGTGGGGAGGAAAAAAATAGATGAGGCGGCGGTGAGGGTCTGTCTGTGGCCGGCGGGGCTGGAAGCGCCCAGCGAGGAGAGCGCTGTTGGGTAAACAGATGGGGGTGGCAACTTTTCTGCATGCCCGCTATAAATATCCCACAGTTTGGCCGCCCCTGCTGGGGTTTCCTGGCATCGTGGGTGTGGAGATCAAGGTGCAGACGCAGGGCACTTCCGGGAGCCGCAGAGGGCGGCCAGGGCGCTGCTCAGATCCCAGTCCCCCAGGGGGTGGCGTGGGCGCCGAGGTCTGAGGCTGAGGCCCTGGGTGGGGGCGGGAGGTGCTCCTTCGCTACCCACTGGCTGTGGAGCTCGGGCAAGCCCCGTTCCCTCTTATGATCATAACAGAAGTGTCACTCCTGGCGCCTCGGGGGGCAAGCTCGAGACAGGCAGGCAATGCTCTGTCCATGGTCAAACCTCTCAGGTTCTGGGTGACCTGGGTGAGTTCTATCATCTCCCTGAGTCTCAATCTCTTCATCGAATATCTGCGCACGGGGGGCGGGTGGTGGGCATCTGGGAGGCTGGAATGGAAGTGCAGGGGTGGCCGTGGACGGCAGCGTGCGTGGTATCTCAGAGCTGACTGTGGGCCGGGCTGGGGCTCCCCCGCAGCCCCCTGCAGCCCCGGGGGGACCTCTGTCATCTCTACAATATTGTGCACTTCCTAATACTGATGCGGGCGGTGGTTCCAGCCATGCCCGCTGCGGGCCTATGATGATCCAGGGACTTTGCAAACTAGGTTATCTAAGCTCTTTTGTTATCTCGGGTTAGTTTCCCAGCTACCCCACCCTACACATAAAGAACCCAAGGCTCAGAGAGAAGGGACTGCCCACAAGATCCTTCATGCGGTCAGTAAGTATCCAGTGCAGATCAGCCATGTGCCAGGCCCTGGGCCAGTGACTGGGGATTTGGTGGCTCTCTGTGTCATAGAGCCCACAGCCCAGTGGGGAGAATCCATCAGTGAAGGAGGGACGCACAGACAAGCATCTAGCGTCACGCATGGCCTGGGACCTCCGGCTCTCCTGCATCTGTATGGCTGTGTTTGGGCTCCTCCTAGGACTGAGGGATTTTTGTCATCCTGTCACCCGCAGCACTGGCTCGGTAGTTGGCAGGTACCTGCTGAAATGAATCGAGAACACATCAATTCAGTTCATCAAAATAGCGCCTGAACATGACTCTGTGCAAGCCTTGCGCTAGCATCAGTGGGCCTAGGGCTGACGGGGCTAGGTGGGGAGAAGGGGCCGAAAGCCGGCTCGTACACTACACGTCGGTATGACAAGTCACGATGGAGCAAATATTCCCAAACCTTCTCAGAGCCCAGCGAATGAGGCAGGGCAACTCATCATCCCCATTTCACAGATTAGGAAACTGAAGTTCAGTGAGGTTCAATGACTTGCCCAAGGACACTCCACTGAGACGTGGTAGGGCAGGGCCTGGAACACAGGACTGCCCGCCGTTTCCCCTGCAGATAGGGAGGGGCCCTGGGCCTGTGCGAGAGGCCCCGAGGGCCCTGAACTGCCCTGGAGGCCTGTATTAGCATGGCAAGCTCAGCAGGGATGCTTTGGCCCAGGGAAAGGCAGGCATTGTCCTCCTGACTCTCAGTCCCACTACAAAGATGTCTGCCTGCAGCTTGAGGGTGGAAGGGACGGACACTGGACAGAGTTTCTGGAGACCCTTTGCTCTGCCCTGGGAATCAGCTCACTCTCTCTGAGCCTCAGTTTCTCTCTGTGAATGCACGGGTTGGACTTGATGATCTCTAGAGAACGCTTCAGCTTGGATGCCCCATACTTCTCCTCCAGGGTGCCCTGTGGCCTGTCCTTGGGCCCAGGAGGGCACAGTTGGGAGCAAGGGTGTGTCTGAGGCAGGGCCAGGCAAGATTTATGCTGCAGCCCCCTGGGGCACTTGGGCTCATGCTGATCCTGAAGTGTCCACTCACAGGGAGAATGGGCGGGGACCTGAGGAGTGAACATGTCCCCTCAGGCTCCGGGCGTCCCCGGATTGAGATGGGGCCAGGGCCTTTCCTCTGTTTTTCTTCCACACTCAGTCCCCATCCCACTGACTCTGGGACCGTGCTCCCAGGGAGCTAGAGGGAAGCAGCACACAGGGGCAGCATTAAGGCTACTCACACATATCCAGGTTCTCCTCTTGCGGGATCCATGGTGGGAATGCACGGCCCTTTTCCCTGAAGCTAGGGGTGGCCACGTGACTGGGTTTGGCCATCGGAATGTGACAGCCACCAGCAACTGGCAGGATGGTGTTGACTGGGGTCCTGAGGACAACGTGGAGCAGGGTCCCCGCCAGCCCACAAGCATGTGGTGTGAACAAGAATGAAAGCTTTGCTGTTTGGAGCCATTGAGGTTTTGGAGTTGTTTGTTACCGTGCCATAACCCCGTATATCCTGACTAGAGCGGGGCAGGCAGACGGGTCAACAGGAGAGACAGCAGCCTTGGGATTAACTGATTGGGCTATCCTTCCTTATTTAATTTTTTCGTACATGTATTCATCCATCCATATATACATCTGTCCATCCATTCACCATCCTTCTGTC